GGGGACTGCAGCCAACCGCAGGGAGACATCGTCTTATTATCCTGACGGAAGAAGCACCTTCTCTGAGGAGTCTCAGGAGGGCCACATCTCTCCAGAGACGGGTCCTGTCTTCGAGCAAATCTGCCCTGTGGTGAGGCGCCGCCGCCTGTGGGCCCAAGCCCTGGAGAAAGGCCTGAGAATCGCCGCCCATGGTCGGTTCAGCCCTGACTGCTTCACGAGAGAACGTGACCACCGGGAAAATATCATCGGAAGACCGGAGGGACCGGAGGGGTCGGCGCCTATTGTGGGGCAGCATAGAAGGGCCCACGCTCTGTCGTGTATGGCAGTTACGTACATGAAATGTATATGAAATAACCGAACAACAGTAGCGTAAGCACATCATGTGGAAATGTGGGTGCAAACACCGGAAGGAACCGTTAGAAGAACTGGAGGTGGCTGTGCGAGGTCACGCTCACTTGCTCTCCCTCCTGTCCCTGTGTCGACGCTTCCTCGAGTTCACCCGCTCAGCATGCAGGGCTCGGCCTCTGAAAACCTCATGGCTTTAAATGGTGACAAATCTCAAAATTTGCGAGCAGGACGTCATTAGAAATCTTGACAAGGGCAGTTTTGGTTGAGTGGCAGGGGCAAAACCCTGAGTGCAGAGGGTTGAAGAAATTCATAGATTGATAAAGTATGGATATAGCCCCATGAGGAATCAGATCATCTTCTTATCCCAAATCCCAAGTAAAACCTTTTATTTGACGAAACACCATAATTCAAATGTAAAGAAGCGTAACGGTTAAAAGAAATCCTAGTAGAAATTCCTCAAAACTTCACACTCACAAATTCTGTTCTTTATAGACCTTTTTCTAGATACATGTTTTATGCATGCCATGACTTACTGAGCTAGTGGTATTACGTTTTGTGGCTAGAAGAATTTTTTGATCTGTCAAAAAATTATGTGATAATTGTGGTATCGTGTGATAATTCCATTTTCTCCTTACATCATTTTTTAAAAAGATTTATTTATTTATTTATGATAGACATAGAGAGAGGAGAGAGAGAGAGAGAGAGAGAGAGAGGCAGAGACACAGGCAGAGGGAGAAGCAGGCTCCATGCACGGGAGCCTGACGTGGGATTCGATCCAGGGTCTCCAGGATCACACCCTGGGCCAAAGGCGGCGCTGAACCGCTGAGCCACCCAGGGATCCCCTCCTTACATCATTTTGACACTTCCTGCTTTTGAAAATTTGTTTAAAAGTAGTGTCATTCTGAGGTGCCTGGGTGGTACAGTTGGCGAAGCGTCTAACTCTTGCTCTTGGCTCAGGCCGTGATCTCAGGGTCTCAGGGTCATGATCTCAGGTGAGATTGAGCCCCGTGTCGGGCTCCATGCTCAGCATGGAGTCGGCTTCAGATTCTCTCTCCCTTTCCCTCTGCCCTCCCTCTTGTGCTCTCTCTCTCTCTCTCTCTAAAATAAATAAATCTTAAAAAAAAAATAAAAGTGGTATCATCCTGTCAGGTGAGCTGCTGCTGATCCATTGGAATGCTGGGTTTTCAACATGGCACTATTGACATTTTGGGTGGGATCATTCTTGGTTGTCAGGGCTGTTCCAGATGTTGCAGCTTTTTTAGCAGCAACCCCCCCCCCCGCCTCTTTGCACTACATGTCACTAGCATCCCCTGGATGTGACAACCAGAGACATCTCCAGATGTTGCCGAATGTTCCCTGGTGGGGGTTGGGGGCAAAATCAACCCACGGTTGAGAACCACGGCTGAAGAGAGAGTCAGGGAACTATGGAGCGCGGGGGGCGGGGGGCTGGGAGGAAGGCACTTACACAGCGAGGGTGGAATGGAAGCAAGACCCAAAACTTGTTATCCTAGTTGGTCTTTGCCTTAGTTCTGGTCTTTGCCATTCTTTGTTGTTGAACACAGTCCGCCGTCCCCTGGAGATGCTGTGTCTGCGTTCCCATATCTGCTTTGCTTACGGTGTGTCTTCCTTGGGATGGCGCAGGTGGGGGGTGAGAGGCCGACAGTCATAGACAATTAATGCCTTCCCTGGGCACAGGGGAGCTCTAGAAATGGCTGAGGTTGTTTTTTTATCTTTCTTTTTTCTTTCTTTTCCTTCCTTCCTTCCTTCCTTCCTTCCTTCCTTCCTTCCTTCCTTCCTTCCTTTCTTTTCTTTCCTCTTTCCTCCCCCTTCCAATTGTTTCTGCAACCTTTGTTTTCCTGCCCACTGCTCCTCGCCGTGAGTGCTACTGTGCCTAGATCAGTCTTTGCGAAGGACAGTTGTGTGAATCAGTCTGAGTTCTTTGTGCTCCATGAACGTGGTAATTTGTCAAAGAAGAAAGGCAGAAATAGAATTTTGGGGAGTAAGTATAGGGTAGGATGGCCGGTAGAAGGAGAAGTAGCAAAGGAGCCGGCAGATGTAGGTAATGGTTAGACTGTATTTTTGCAAAAGAATTAGGATTTCCTCTACGTAATAATACTAAAATTAGGGCACATGGGTGGCTCAGCCAGTTAAGCCCCTGACTCTTGATTTTGGCTCAGGTCGTGATCCCAGGGTCATGAGATTGAGCCCTACGTTGGGCTCCACACCCTGTGTGGAGTCTACCCAGAGTTTCTCTTCCTTCCTCTCCCTCTGCCCCTCCTCCCCACTCTCTCTCTCTCTTTCTCAATAAATCTTCAAAAAAAACAATAATACTAAAATCGTTTAAATAATAAAGATGATAGTCATAACTAGAATAAACAAGCCCTTAGTACATGCTTGATACTATTTTAAGTGTTATGAGTTAATTAACTTAATCTTCACAACCCCGTGAATACAATTTTTTAAAAAAGATTTTATTTATTTGATAGAGAGAGAGGGAGAGGCACAGAGAGAGTGAGCGAGTGAGCAGGGGGTGGCAGAAGGAGAAGGAGAGGGAGAAGCAGGCCCCCCACCAAGCATGCTGCAGGGCCCCCGAAGCAGGAATCGACCCCAGGACCCCGGGATCATGACCTGAGCCGAAGGCAGATGCTCAACTGAGTCACCCAGGTGCCCTGATTTTTGTTTTCTTTCTTTTTTTTTTTTTTTATGATAGTCACACACAGAGAGAGAGAGAGAGAGAGAGAGAGAGGCAGAGACACAGGCAGAGGGAGAAGCAGGCTCCATGCGCCAGGAGCCTGACGTGGGATTCGATCCCGGGTCTCCAGGATCGCGCCCTGGGCCAAAGGCAGGCGCCAAACCGCTGCGCCACCCAGGGATCCCTGATTTTTGTTTTCTTAGGTAGGCTGAACACCCAGCATGGAGCCCAGTGCTTGAACTCACGACTTTGACATTGAGACCTGAGCTGAGATCAAGAGTTGGACGCTTAACCAACTGAGCCGTCCAGGCACCCCAAGAATGAGCGATTTTTATTCCCATGTTAGAAATGAGAATATTAAGGCCCAGACGGGGTCAGAATAACTTGTCCAAGAGGCAGAGCTGTGTTTCGAATTCATATATCCTGCTTTCAAATCCTCATTTTTAAGCTCAGTGTCATCTACAAAAGACACGGCCTCTCTAGAAAATACCAGTGACACTGAGAATGGCTCTTACCGAACAAGATAAAGAAGAATTATTAGGCCCATGAGAAAAAAAAAAAAAAAAGGTTTCTGCCAGCTGACTAAAGCTCTGTTGGAATTTTTTAATGGAAATCTCACCCAAAGGTTTGCTTTCATTTTATTGGTCAGTGAAATTGCAAGGAACATGAGAATTTTGTTCATTTTTGGATGCATACATGGTCTCCCGTGATGTTATTTATTCATCGATTTAGAGAGAATTGATACCTATATCGACCAAGTTTTCTATGTCACACAACTTAATTACTGGTTTTGTTAAGTTCCTTGTGGTGTCATCCGTGGTTAGTTCACCTTATTATTCATACTGTCTTTAACAGCACTTAACCTTAAGTAGGCAATATTTGCTGAATAGATACATGAGAGAATATATAACCCTAACTCCTTATTTTTCAGTGGAAATAGATTCCTGATGTAAGTAACATGGCTCCTTCCCTCAGGAAGGTTATGCTGCTGTTACACTATTAACTTTTTAGAGGCAGATCTGGTATTTTAATGCTGTGATGAAAGTATTTTCTTCTCGGAAAAATGCACATGTGGATTCCTACCAAATTTTGTACACAGTTCTAGGGGATTCGCCGCTATTTTAAATGTTCGTTCCTGAATCCCAACTAAGCAAACTTTGCTTCAGCAAAGTCTCAGCCTCGGCACCTTGGAAGTTTTGGTCTTGCTATGGCCTGAATACGTCCCTCCAAATCCATACGTTGGAGCCCTAACCCCCGGGGTGAGGGTAATAGAAGATGGAGCTTGTGGGAGGTGATTGAGCACCGAGGGGGGGGCTTTATGAGTAGGATCAGCGCCCTTAGAAGCCTGAGGGCTCCTAACCCACCTCTGCCCTATGAGGATGCAGCAGAGACGCAGCCGGTCATCGGGAACCGGAGAAGCAGGCCCTCGCCAGACAGCGCGGCCGCCAGCACCTCCGCCAGCACCTCCGCCTTGGACTTCGCAGCCTCCAAAACGGTGAGAACTAGATTCCTGTTGTTTACCAGCCACTCAATCTATGGATTCCATTACCGCAGCCCCGACGCGAGGCCGGGGGTCTGGATCTGGCCCCGCGGTTCCAGCTCGGTCAAGGTCCCAGCGCGGAGGGCTGCTGTCACCCTACGCAGGCGAGACCTCCCTCAAGGAGGGAGCTCGCAGTGTGATGCTCGCCCGCTGATAGTGCCCCAAGGCGGCCCCTTCCCCCTCTGCGGCCTCTGAACCCCGAGGACGCGGTCTCGTCTCTGCCCCACTCCCACCGCGCCACCTCCCTTGAGTACCCCAAGAAGTCACACCAGGGTGATCGCACATCTCGCCTGTCAGCCTTGTGGGTTCCCATCTGCGGTTCTAGCGTGAGTCTCAGGAGCCCTTCCGTTCCCCGAAGTGCTCAGGTTGGATAATAAGCACACGGCGGCCGCTCGGAAGGAGCAGGCCTGGAGCTCAGCTTTATTGGCGGGCGGCCGAGCGGGTTGGGGTGGGCCCGGCGTCCTCCCCGGAGGCCGCGGGCTCGGCGTCCGCCTCCTCGGGCCGCGTCCAGACCCTGATCTGCCTGACCAGCAGCCAGGGCTCCTGGGGCGCCAGCACGAGCAGCCGCAGGCAGCTCAGGGGCGCCTCGGAGAACACGGCCTGGTCCAGGCGCCCGGCCACCAGCGGGCCCAGCAGGGAGTGGCGGCCGCAGTGGCCCGCGACTGGCGGCCCGAGGCCCAGCTCCACGCGGCCCTGGCGCAGCAGGTGCAGCCCGTGCGGCTCGGAGCCCGTCAGCACCGCCACGCGGGCCACCCTCTGCGGCCTGTCCCAGGCCACGGCCAGGTAGTTGCCCCGCACGGGGCTGAGCGCGGAGTAGCACTCCTTGTTCAGGACGTAGGCCACCTGGGGCGGGGCGCTCCCCGCGGCCATCATGTCGCTGAGGACGGTGGCGGCCGGGTTGTCGGGCTCCCCGGACGCCTCCTCCTCCTCCTCCTCCTCCGGGGCCGCGCAGGGGTCCCCGGCCGCCGGGCCCCGGCCCAAGCCGTGGAAGACAGCCGGGTTGAAGCGGATCGGGGCGTCCTGGGCCAGGAGAAGGCGGAACTCGGAGAGGAGCGAGGGAATGGGAAGGTCGGCGGGGAACAGGAGAAGGGAGGCCAGGCGGCCCAGGTCCCCGGCGCGCACGACCTTCCCCGAGAGGCGCAGGCCCGAGAACTCCAGGACGGCCCAGGGAAGCGCTCTCCAGGCCCACAGGACCCGGGAGACGCTGGAAATGAATTCGGGGCTGCAGCGAACGCGATCTCCCATCACCAGAAAGTATTCGGACAGGTTGCGAGCGAAGTTCATGAGGAGCGCGTAGCTGGCCCTGCGCCCGGCCCGCCGCGCCCCGCAGGCCGAGCCGCGACTCGGGGAGCCCGGGTGTCCCGGGCCCGGGGCCCCCGCGAGGCCACCGCCGATCACCAGCAGCCTCCCGGCTTCAATGTGGCGCCCGAAGAGCCCCGAGATGTTGGCAGCCGTCTGGCCGAGCCACGCGGGGTCACCCCCCGACAGGTGCACCAGCACCAGCACGTGGTCCAGCTCGGCTTCTGACGAGGCTTGGAAAAGGGACCGCAGGGTGTCCAGCAGGTAGGTCCCGCGCGGGCCCCACTCCGAGGCGATGCCGGCCGCCAGCAGCCCTGGGCGGGACGGGGGCCTTAGGGCCTCTCCTCCCACCTCCCTAAATGCCACGCCCGAGACAGGTTCACACCCCTTCCCAGGGACAGCGTGTCCACACCTGGTGCCCATCTCTGGTTACAGGTTGCAGAGGGGCCTCACTCGGTCACGACTTTCAAAGGCTGGTGGCGGGAACTAGGACAGGCCTGTCTGACGGTGGAGGCTGCCGTGTGCCAGAGGCCGGCTAGCCAGGCCTTGGCCCCAGAGCTCCCCGGCCGCGGCGGTCACGGGCGGACTAGGGGGTCTCGGGAGCTTGGCCAGGGCGCAGCTGCTCGGCCCACTGCCCTTGTCTTCCCGCACCTGGCACCCCCTCCGCGCTGCCTCTCCCACGGCCTCCGGCCTCCATGGGCCAGCCTGCACCCCTCCATGCCTTGCTCGCGGGGCGCAGGGGGAAGGCCCCGAGGACTGCAGCCTGCCGGGCCTCGTGGCGTGGCCGCCCCCGGCACAGCCTGCTTTCCTCACCGGCTGCCAGCCCGCTTCCCTCTTGTCGGGGTGCCCTGGGGGCCCCCAGGTGCCCCACACTCACTCCTTCCCTGCGGAGGGGATCCAGCCAGGAGCCGGTAGGTGGCCTCCTGGAGGACAGGGGCAGCTTCCCGCATGTCCCTGAAGGCCGCCAGGTGGTCCCTGCTCTCAGAGCCGAGTTGCTCCTGATTGAGCCGCCACAGCGTTTTCTTCTTTTCCTCCTGCTGAGGATGAGATGACTATCAGCCCCGACGCTACCCTGACACCCTGGGACCCTCAGGGGCACACCCCTCCTTTAGGACAGCGGGGCAAGCCCGAGTGTCAGGGCTCAGCTGGCCGCTAGCCTCACCTCTGCGTGAGGACACACGGGACGCTCCAGCAGGGGCGCAGGCCCTGCAATCAGGCCGGAAGCAGGGGTACCTGTCTGGGTTCTAGAGCCCTCTGGGGGGACTGCCTGCCCGCCACGCCCCACATCTAGGTCTTCCCACATTGGCGGGCTGGTGAAGGGCACCCAGCCAGGCTTAGGCCACGAGTGCCCCGGCAGGGCTGAGACCCCCTGGCAGGGCTGAGACTCCACAGCGCCTGCACCCCAGAGCTGGCCTTTGTTGCCCCGACACGTGGCATCCCTGCACCCCTGCCCACCTCTGCCCGGGCCGGGCCCAGCCACCCTGAGGCATTAAGGAGAACGCGGACGCCCAGAACCTGGCGCGCCCAGTGCAGGACGCGGTCCTGCCCTTGCACAGGTGGCCCGCACCGGGGAGGGCACTTCAGGGCGTCTCAGGCCCTTCATACGAGAAGCGGGATGAGTGACCTCCCGGACGCCAGGCTGCGGTGCGGCCCGGGGCCCGCGGTCCCGCCAGTCGGCCTGCTTTCCCAGACGTGTCTACGCGTTGCCCTCGCCACGCTTCAACCGCCCTCTCTTCCTCCTTTTGCCTCTTTATTCACGTTTTACACATCTTTCAAGGCCGGCTCAATATTTATCTTTCCTCGGATACACTCCTGACCCTCCACGTGCCCTCTTAGAACCTCCGAGAACGGGTGTTGGTGTGAGTGGAAAACCCCGCTCCCCCGAGGGATCCCCGAACAGTCCGACGCCCGTGTCCCGTCCTCACCAACGATGGGTTCTCCGTGAGATGCTCTTCCTCGTTCTCTTGGAGGAGGAAGCTCAGGACGACGAGGGGCACAGCAGCTATGACACATCCCCACGGGCAGCGGCGCATGCTGCGGGGCCTGGAGCAGCTCTGCCAACAAATGCGAGCGGGACAGGACTCCCGAGCGCCCCGGCCTCCCCTGGCCTCTAGCCCCCCACTTCCTTTCCCCTCTTCCCTCCTCCCGGACCCCACGGCCCAATCATCTCAGTTACCTTCACTCCCCCACTTCAGCCCCCCGCCCCCCGGCAGCCGTCCAAGGAGACGCAAAGGCCAAGGAGTCTGATTCTACCCCACTCCTACCTTCTTCACCTCCTGTTTGGGTTTCCAGGCGAAATTCGAGTAGCGCCTTCAGTTTCTCAGCCCTTAGAGACCGGACCAGAGAGGCTGTGTTGCCAAGACGAGGAAATGAGGGGTTAGGCCTTAACCATATTCTCCCTAAACCCCAAATCCAAGTCACAGTCTCTGCTTGGATGCCGCGGGTGAATACTCCGAGTCCTGTCTCTTAGTTGCCCGTTTACCTCTGTCCCGACCGCCCCCCCCCCCCCCCGGTGATGTTACGTAGATGACGATGTTTGAGTCAAGTCAGAGGGACCAAGGGAAGCCCTTGCTAGTCTATCTCCCCCCATCCTGAACGGGTAAGCAGGATGCAAACCTAAAAAGTGACCAGAAATTTCTAATCCTGTGCAAGTCTTTGCCACGTTTGGAGTGCTGCAGCCATGAGGGCTTTTTGTCTAACAGAAGGTGCGGCTCGGGGGTCTGTCAGAGAGTGGAATTTCCCTGAAATCAAGGAGAAAATACCTTAATATTTCTGTGTCTGCAGGATGGGGGTCCTAGAGTGGCTCCTCTGAGGTAGCAGAAACTGGTCACCTCTCCCGGGAGACCCTGCTTGACAACCATTGTCCCCCCTGAATGGGCACTGGTTACCCCTCCAGCCTCACATCCAGCACCTGTTTCTGGGTAAGGTGAGGCTAAAGTTTTATTTTATTTTAAGATTTTTTTGAGAGCGAGCGAGCACGAGGGAGGGGCAGGGCAAAGGGAGAGGCAGAAGCGGGGAGCCCCACCCAGGGTCCTGGGATCCTGACCCAAGGCAGACTTGACCAGCTGAGCCCCCCAGGGGCGGGGGCCTAACATCTTAAAGCTGGCTCCAGTCTTTTATCTCAAACTTGGAAGTGTGGAAGTTAACGGTCAGTCTGAATGTGAAAGTGAATACGACGGGTCATCCCCTCCCCCAGGGCTGCCGCAGACGGTCCCCGCAGGGGTTGGGGCTCCCATTCGGCCCCTGCGCAGCCAGCTGGGGGGTGGCCGTCACCGCAGGTTGGTCCTCAACTTCTTACGTCGGCTGCCCACTTCCCAGAGCGGCCCAGGGGCCTCTGAACCTTGCTCCTCTTCTCTTCCTCCGCTCGGCTCAGGACCCGGATGGCACTTGGGGTTCGTCCTGGCTCTCCCCGCGCCGCCCCCCACCGGCCTTGGCATCAGGCAAGAGGCAGGTGCGGCCTCTGCGAAGAGAAGCACAGAACCGAATGACCCCGTCTCTGACCAGGTCGGCTTTCTAGCTATGGAAACCAGAACCCGCATTTAGGGTAAGATTCTACTTACAATAGTATTTTATTTCCTTTTGGTTTTACTGAGATGTCGTTAACGTCCAGAACTGTCTACGTAAGCTTAAGGCGACAGCGTGGTGCCTTTAGTTACGCATGTTGCGAAATGACACGGATGTAAAGTTTAGTTAACACCCATCATCTCATGTATAGACACGCCCACACGCACACGCACACACACACAAAGGAAAAACACATTTTTTTCTTTGTGATGAGAATTTTGAGTATTTACTCTCTAAGCAGCTTTCAAATACACCACACGATGCAGTCGACCTGAGTCGTCACGTTGTACCTTCTATCCTCGGGACTTACTTCTTTCACAACTGGAAGTTTGTACCTTTTGACCACCTTCCTCTACTTCCTTTTCCCCTCAGCTCCCCACTTCTGGTAGCTGCAAATTCGATCTTTTTTTTTTTTTTTCCTGTGAATGTGTTTGTTTTCTAGATTCCACATATAAAAGACATCGTATAGGATTTGTCTATCTCTGACTTATTTCGTTTGGCATAATGCCCCCTAGGTCCATCCAGGTGTCACAAGTGGCAGGATTTCCTTCTTTTTTGATGGCTGAATAGTGTTACACGCACAGACACACACACACACACACTTTTCTTTACCCATAATAGTGCTGTTTTGAGAAGGCCACGCGTCTGAAGACTATGGTCTTCTAACAGGACCTAACGGCTTTGAACTCAAACTCTCTTTTCCTCCTACTCTTTTCACCTCTTTGAATCCTCTTCTTCCAATGTTTCCTCTCTCCTCCCTTTTCTTCTAGGAGCCAAAAAGCAAATGAGCAAACAAATAAACAAGAAATGATTATATCGAAGTTAAGATGGTTAAAGAAAATCTAAAACTTTTATTGCATTAAAAATTATGTGGGCAGGGGATCCGTGGGTGGCTCAGCGGTTTGGTGTCTGCCTTTGGCCCAGGGTGTGATCCTGGTGTCCTGGGATCGAGTCCCATGTCGGGGTCCCGGCGTGGAGCCTGCTTCTCCCTCTGCCTGTGTCTCTGCTTCACTCTCTCTCTCTCTCGCTCTGCCTCTCTCTGTCTCTAATAAATAAATAAAATCTTTAAAAAATTATGTACGATTTTGATGTTCAATGTAGTATTTTTTTCTTTTATGTCAGTGATTTTGTTTTTTTTTTGGTTCTGTTTAACAAATATCACATTACGAGGTTGCAGAGATTGTCTCTTATGTTTCCTTCTAGAAGCTTTGTAGTGTTAATGTCCCGCCAGCTTTATCAAGGTATATGGTGATTGACAAAAATCGTATGTATTTGAGGTGTATGACTTGGTGTTTTTTTTTTTTTTGTTGTTGTTGTTTTTTATTATAGTCACACAGAGGGAGACAGAGAGAAGCAGAGACACAGGCAGAGGGAGAAGCAGGCTCCATGCACCGGGAGCCCGACGTGGGATTTGATCCCGGGTCTCCAGGATCGCACCCTGGGCCAAAGGCAGGCGCCAAACCGCTGCGCCACCCGGGGATCCCCGACTTGGTGTTTTGATACATGTTTACATTGTGAAATAATGACCACAATCAAGCTAAATAACATATCCATCACCTCACATAGTGACCATTTTCTTTCTTTTCTGCCTTTTTTTCTATCTCCTCCTTTCTTTTGATGAAAGCCCCTAATATCTACCCTCATAGCAAGTTTCACGTATACAGTACCGTTAACTAGTATTGTTAACTATCGTCACGTTGCTCTACATGAGGTCCCAGGAGCTTATTAATCTTGCGTAACTGAAACTGTTCTCTTGGACCAAGTGCTCCCATTTCCCTGCTCCCAGCCCTGGCAACCACCACTGTACTGCCGGCTTCTCGTAGGTGTGTACTGGTATCTTATTGTGTTTCTTTTTCTTTTGTAAACTCAGATATAAGTTTTATATGGTAAAATCACCTTTTGTAGCAGGGTTCTGATTTTGGGCGTGCACCTACTGTCATGTAGTCACCTCCACATTCTAGAATAGAGAACACTACCGTCGCCTCCTCACATGCCCTCATCCTCTCTTATGGTCAATCCTTGCCCTCCCTTCCAGCCTCTGGCACCTATTTACCTGTTTTCTGTCTCCACAGGTTTGCTTTTTCCAGAATTTCATATCTGTGGAGTCATGCAGTGTGTAGCCTCCTGATTTCTGGCACTTCTTAGTTAGCATGCTGCATTTGCGACTCCTCCATATTTGTGTGTGTTAATAGCTCATTCCTTTTTCCTGCTGAGAGTAGTCTAAGGACAGACCACAGCTGCTGCTTTTTTTTTTTTTTTTTTAGGATTTTCTTTATTTATTCATGAAAGACACAGAGAGAGGCAGAGACACAGGCAGAGGGAGAAGCAGGCTCCACGCAGGGAGCCCGATGCGGGACTCGATCCCAGGACCCCAGGGTCATGCCCTGAGCTGAAGGCAGACGCTCAACTGCTGAGCCACCCAGGTGCCCCCACAGCTTCCTTATTTATTTATAAGTTGATAGATATTTGGGTTGTTTCCAGGCTTGGCAATTACAAATAAAACTGCTAAAAAATGCTCCCTATCAGGTTTTTGTGTGACATAAATTTTCATTTCTGTCAGGTAAATACCCAGGAGAGCAATTGCTGAGTCACGTGATAAGCGTACGTTTACTTTATGAGAAACTGCTATACTTTTCTCTAAACTAGTGGCTCGTTTTGAACATCCCCCAGCAATGTATGAGGAGACTTCCAGCTGCTCTCAATGAACATTAGGATTGTCAGGTTACTTTTAAGGCATTTTATCCCTTCGAATAGGTATATGGCATATCTTTATTGTTTTCAATTATCTTGTTTTCAATTTGCATTTTCCTAGTGGTTAATGATGTTGATCAATTTCCCCCCTTAAAATAAGTTTTTAAAGCTATGTCCTTTTTTCTAAAGACTGCTTTAATTGCGCCCCCAAAATTTAGAGGTTGTGTATTCATTATTATTCAGTTCAAAATAGTTTCTTTTTTTTCTTTTTTTTTTTTTTTTGTTGGAGACCCGTTTAATGTGGACGCTCAAGGCCTGGGCAGAATGAAGAGTGCCCCAGAATTGGGCAGGTAGGCAAGGTGGGTGGGTGGAGGGCCCGCACCTGACCCCGGGAGGGGATGTCGGATGTTGGGGGCTGGCCCAGGCATGCCAAGGGGAGTACCAGAAGGGTGTCCAAGGCAGGCAGACCCACTGGGGGACCTGTAGGCCAGCCCCTGAGCAGGTGTTGAAGCCAGGTGGTGAGTGCCTAGGCCAGAGCCTAGCCCAGGGAGGCAGGGTTGGAGCTGGCTGGGAGCTCCCAAAACCTAAGGACTGGCATCAGGAGGGGCCTCCCCAAGCTGCTGCTGGAACTCAAGGCGTGTCTGCCGGTTGGACTCAAGCAGCTCCTGGAGGCGGGCATGGAGGTGGTCATTCTTCTCCTCTAGGTGGTCTAGACAGGAGTTGATCTGGTCCAACATGGAGTTGATGGCAGCATATTCTGCTTCCCCGAAGCCGTCGTCCTCGCCTTCCGCGCCCGCCTCCACCGGCAAGCCCAGGTCCCCGTTGGGGCCCGACATTGCGGGCTCGGGCTCGGGCGCCGCGAGGGCCCTGCGACGACAGAATGCGGCGACAGGCCCGCGGACAGCCGGCGCCGGGCGGAAGGTGCAGGCGCGGGATGGAACGAGGCGCCGGACTCAAAATAGTTTCTAATTTCATCTGCAATTTCTTTTTTGACCCATGAGCTATTTAGAAATGTTGCTTAATCTTCCAAACCTTTGGAGATTTTTCTAGATACGTAATTGTTCTTGGTTTCTACTTTTATTTCTTTTTTTGGTTAGAGCACATATTTTGTATGATTACAATTCTCGAACCCGAGTAGCCCCCTAATACACAGTCACTGTTATCCTGTGGTGGCAAAGTATTTCACCAGCCTCGCTTTGGGTTCCCCACCTCTGCCCTATCTGACCTTTGGGTTCACCTTTCAGCTTCTGACCAGGTAACTCTGAACCTGAAGCAGATCCGGCTTCTCCGGTGTGTCTGGTCGGTCTTCTCTTTGGCTCCGGCTTCCTCCACTTCTGCTGCCTCCTTGCCGTCTGTGGACAAGCCCTGGTCTGGGTCTGGCCCCCAAGGGCCCTCTCGGCCCCGGCACCCTGGACAGACTGGGAAGTCTCTCCCTAATGTGTTGTCGAGTCCTCATAAATGCCCTTGAATGTATATATTATTATCCCTACATACGAGGAAATGAGGCTAAGCGAGGAGAAGAAACACTTATTAAAAGTCTGCTGTTGAGGTCTGCGGCCTTGCTCCCGCCTTTGACTGAGTCTTGGTGTTTGCATTTCTAGACTCTCACTCTTGGGAGACCTTAGCTCAGCTGTCTTAGGATATCCCAACTTAATTTTAACCACAGGTAATCAACAACTGTGTTTTATTTTTTTATTCTTTTATTTTTTTTTAATTTTTATTTATTTATGATAGTCAGAGAGAGAGAGAGAGAGAGAGAGAGAGGCAGAGACACAGGCAGAGGGAGAAGCAGGCTCCACGCAGGGAGCCCAATGCAGAACTTGATCCCGGGTCTCCAGGATCACGCCCTGGGCCAAAGGTGGCGCTAAACCGCTGAGCCACCCGGGCTGCCCTCTCTCCTTATTTCCATCCCATTAGCCTGTTTCCAAATTCTCCAGCTCTATCCATTTTTATTACAGCTCATTTGCACATACTGCCGGGTTTTTTATTTCATTTCTTTCCAAATATTCCTCTTAAAGTGGCCCTTTCTTTTTCCTTTATTCTCCCCTTCATGGATCATTTATGGTTCTCCAGGCAGCAAAAACCAAACACTGCACATTAGTTGAGTTCAGGGCCTGCTTAGAGCTCAGATTTTTCCTGGAACAGAGATATTATAGCAAAACTGAACTGAAAAAATGTTAGTAAAATATCCAAAGTTTTTCCTATCAGAAACATCCCAGTTACCTTATAGTCCCAGAGATAAGACATTCCTGGAGATAGGCACAACCAAAAATTAGAGAAAATTATTTTTTAACGACTTTGATGCTATTTAAAAAGGAATACCCTGACATATTAGGTGACCATGTAGGAGATAACTCTGCCTAATACAAGGGTTTCCCAGTAAATACTTATCAAATGAATGACTGCCTTGTAATTGGATAATGAGCTCATGGAGAAAACAATCACGCTCCTCTCCTGACCAACCAATATTTTTTGGTCACATGGGAAGTTCAGCCTTTAATGACTATTTCTTGGCTGTTGGAAAGATGCTCTGTCTTCTCTCATGCACCGCTAGAGTCTTGGGATATGAGCCTCAGTCAGTTACTCACCTGTTCCTGTTGTCTCTAGAAGTCTGTGTTCTTGCCCCAGGGGAAGAATTTGGTATGGTAGATCCTTTTGGATAGAAAACCAGGGAAGGGTTAAGAATCCTGCCTCTGGGTCTCTCTGGGACCAAGAGGATGTTTATAATCTTCAGTCTGCCTTTCAACATGCTGTGTTTCTGTATTAAGTCCTGAAAGGACCCAAGAGTGAGATGTCCTTGACCAATTTCAAGACTTTAATTTTTTTAATTTTTTAATCTCTGTAAATTCTAACCACCAATCTGATCCCTCCCAGAACTCCCAATGGCTTCTTCACTATTATTACATTTCACTTAGTCCACAGGTTGATGTGCCTGACTATTATTCCAGAGGGTGGAGTGGCTATCACAAGCAGTCTCACACATTTTACCTTCTTCCCAGACTCAGTAGATAACACCTGCTTATTCAGGGTGCCATTTTCCAGTAGCCCCAGGAGAATATAGTCATCACAGTCATGGACTCTATTAGTAGCATCATAGCCCAGTTCTACTTGTCCCTCTTCCAGGTGATTCTTGCCTTTTAGGTGAGAGCCAGTCAGCACTTGAACTCGGGATACTCTGGCAGGTACATCCAAAATCACAGTCAGATGATTGCCAGCCTCAGCCGATTTGGCATAAAAGAAATTCTTATCTAAGCTATAGGCATTCGTGAGAACAGAGATATTGGCAACTTTCAGGCTAGTGTAGATGGAAGCAGCAGGGTTGCTGGGAGAACTAGGGTCATTTTCCTCAAACTCTTTATCTTTGAGGCTCTTGAATTTGCCCTCAAAGGAGTAATTACCCATGGGCTGGAAAAGGGAAGGGAAGAACTGGATTGGTGTTTGTTGTATGAGAAGGTCATAAAAATTAGAGAGGAGGTAGTCACAGGGCATTTCTTGGCAGAAGAGGAGAAGGAATTGAACTAAACGGGGAAGGTCTCTAGTATGAAAGAGTTTTCCAATGAAGCCGAGCTGAGAGAAGTTCAGAGTCATCCAAAGTCTGTTTTCCCAGGCAGACACTATAGTAGCTATCTGGGTGACAAATCCTGGAGCACATTTCACATCATCTGCGATCATCAGGAAATAGTCAGAGTGGTTGGTAGCAAAGTTCATGAGGAAGGCATAATCCATTTTCTGCTTGGAGTAGAAGGCTACATGGGCTGGGATGTCATTAAAGTTTTTCTTTAAGTTGTTTAAGAGAAGATATCTTGTAAGAGGTGTATTGATCACTACTAGCTGTCCTGCCTGGATATACAGTTTAAATAAGGTTGAGATGTTGGAGATCATTTGACCAAGCCACTTGGGGTCAGGATCTGCCAGGTGTACTACGACAATGAAGTGTTTCCGCTCAGATGAGGAGGAAGCAAAGAAGAGAGATTGCAGGGTGTCCAAGAGGGAGCTGCCATGGGGATGTTGAACTGAGGAAATCCCTATGGTCAGCAGTTCTAGGATTGGAGAGAAAAGAGAACGTTTAACAAGTTAGAGAAGTGAGGAAAACAATTGCTATGTGTGAGCTTATAATACTTTCTTAGGTCTTTCCATATGCTAACTTTACTTGTTCCTGTGATTGCTTTAAATTTTCTCTCCCTCAGGCCTGGCTATGGACTGTATTAGGAGTTAATATCTGGCTATAAGTTGTGAGTTAAAAAAATATATCTCTGTATAACTATTGTGGGAGAAATAGATGCAGAAGATAAGCTAAAAACACTGCATCTATGTCTCCTCCCACTCAAAATCTCACTGAGAAACCAGGAAGATTGCCACGAGAGAATCATTAATATTTGGAGAATTCCTGGAAGATAGAATAGGAACAGGATTGGTGGAGAAATCTAAGTAGAATTTACAGCCCAGGGATCCCTGGGTGGCGCAGCGGTTTGGCACCTGCCTTTGGCCCAGGGCGCGATCCTGGAGACCCGGGATCAAATCCCACTCGGGCTCCCGGTGCATGGAGCCTGCTTCTCCCTCTGCCTACGTCTCTGCCTCTCTCTCTCTCTCTCTATCATAAATAAATAAAAATAAAAAAAATAATTTACAGCCCAAAAGACACAGAAAAAACAACTACACAGATGCGTCTGTATCAAAAGCCTCAGAGAATTTCTAAGTTTGAGCTACCAAACACAGAAGTATGGGCTCTAGGATGGTCACCTGGATAATTACAGAACTGTTTCCAAAACCACTAGACCAGTGATCGCCAAGGGGCTGATGGTAGCAACACTTGCCCCCAGGCTAACATCCTAAGGATTTCTGTCTAAATAAAGTGGAAGGTCTGCCAGGCAAAAGCCCAGGGTGTGAGTCCTGGGGCTGGAGAGAACATCGGAACTTCAGCCAAGAACTCTAGGCAACAAAGGGGGAAAAGAGATAAGGTAACACGGCTGACTGTGGCATTCACCGTCAGGTTCCCTCAAGTAGACGTTCAAAAATGTAGAGGGTGACAGAGCGTCTAAGCAGGTAAATGGGAGAAATCCCCCAGATGACTTAGGGTTATACTAGGAGAGATAGCGGGACACTTCACCCAGAAGATCTGCTTCCCACCTTCTTTACTGCCCCCCCTCCGTTACCTAACGAGGCTTCTACAATCACAACACGCTTCGACAGAGAGGCAAGAAGGGTGGTTATTTGTAGAAAATTACACTGTTCATTCTAGATCCTTGGATATAGATCTGAAACAAGAATCATCAAACATTTGAATATATTTATGAAACAAGAATCATCAACGTAATGGAAGAAAAACAACAACTCAACTGGAAAAAGAAACTCCAAAAATATAATCGGGGCAACAGTGAAATGAAGAACATTTCAAATATATTACATCAATCTTCAGAGGGATCGAAGAAAAAATCATACTCTTTGGTAAAAGAATAGGCTTGTATGAAAAGAAGTTTATAGAAAATATGGACATGGTGACTTGACCAAGCTCAGCTTAGATTTATCTGGCAATAATATTTCATGGTTTGGTGATATGTTCTTCCATCAGAAGGGGCACAATGGCAGATGGTTTCTGTTTTTAGGATGTTAGCGGCCTTTGGTGCTCAGTGTCTAGATCCATCAATACTCTAGCAGTTGTAATATGGTGATACTCTAAGTCAAACATTCCTTCGCCATTCATCATCTGGGAATGTTTCTATGAAGTAAAAATTTCCCTAATCTCCTCTTTGGTTACCCAGTGGTATAGTCCATTTAGGAAAGTGAGAGAAGTATTTTATTATTTCCCTTTGTTTACTAGCTTTCAAAATAATGGATTGGTTTCCCAGCATTCTCCAATGATGACAAAACTGGCTAGTTGGCTTTTGTTTTTTTTTTTAATTTCTTCGATATTCAATCAAATCATGAATTGAATTGATTGAATCAATCATTCAATCAATCAACTCATGAATTTTGTTTCAAATTTTATCTTTATCAATGTTCAAATTGTCCTATCTTAGGCAAGGAGCCTCTTGAAGTTGGATCATGAGCCCATTTAATACAATTTTAGTCATTTTTCTTTTTTTCAAAAGATTTATTTATTTATTTTAGAGTGGGAGAGGGGAGTGGGAGAGAATCTCAAGCAGACTCCCTGCTGAGCATGGAGTCTTCCCCGAGGGGCTGGAAGCCAGGCTGGACACAGAGCAACATGTGGGGCTTGACCTCAATACTCATGGGATCATGACCCGAGCTGAAAGCAAGAGTGAGACACTTAACTGACTGGGCCACGTAGGCACCCCTCAACTTTAGTTATTTTTGAAAGATTCTTTGATATCTGGTATGACATTGGGCCTGGAATCAGCCATTTTTTACAAGGTGAACTGGTTCTTTTAGCATAAAATGGTATTTATATAATGGGTACTCATTGCTAATGGGTCATTTCTGGGGCCTAGTGGACAGAGCTAAAAATATATTTTCTAAAGATAAAACACATCATGGGTTCAGACTGATATTTCAAATGCATTCAATTCAAAAATGCATTTAAACTGGGGCACCTGGGGGGCTCAGTAGGTTAAGCATCTGCCTTGGGCTCAGGTCATGATCTCAGGGTCCTGGGATCAAGTCCTGCATCAGGCTCCCACTCCCTGCTCAGTGGGGAGTCTGCTTTTCCCTCTCCCTCTACCCCACCTCCCTACTCATGCTCTCTCTCTCAAATAAATGAATAAAAATCTTCCAAAAAGTGCATTTAAACTTAAAAGAAAAAAGTAGTTCTTTCTTGCTGGGAGTTCTTTGTATTTTTAAGACCAACAAACTTAAGCCCTCTTGAGCTTAATCTTATTTTATTGACATAATAAATAGCTTAGCACTGTCCTTTGGATTCTTAAAGTGTTTGAGTCAGTTAATGCTTATTCTGTCCAAAGGTTTATTTTTTTCTTATCGAATACCATCGCGACTTAAGGGGATCAATGAGTGCCAGAGCTGGACCTCAGAAGGGCACACAATGCCAGAATGAAGCTTATTCAGCAAGAGAATCAGAGTCCTGGTTGAGCTGACAGATAAAAGCCATATATCCTCTAGCCTTAGACTTCATGGCAGATGCTAGCACAGTTACCAGCAACAGGGGAAAAGTGGCACAATTGCTGCAAAGTCAGTGAGGACCACGCACAGACCTCAGCTGGAGCTATCATTTTGAGAGAATAATTAGCATATGGATGGCAGTTAAGGCTGAGACTAGCCGAGGTCACCAAGACAGTGACCTTTAGACACTGGACAGAGAGGACAAAGCAGCAAAAGAGACTGAGGATCTACTAGTGAAGCTGGAGGAAAACCTGAAGAGTTTGGGGTTCTGTAAGCAACTGGGGAATGTTAAGAGGAGAGTGACCTGCCGTATCAAATACTGTCATGGGTCCATTTCCTTTCTACTGGCTTCTGTCTCTACTCTCGTCTGACCCACCAGTACATTCCGTACTCCTTGTGCATACTCACTTTTTTTCATAGGAGGAGCTCCAATCAAGATATGGGAGTTTATATTTTTGAGCAGTTCTGAGTTTTTCTGCATATTTTTGAAGGTTTCCAAGTGGTTGGTTCTACCGGGGTGGATCTGCATCCGGGCTCTCTGCCAAGCTACCATCTCCCTTTCCTCCTGAGTAAAAAGCAAATTTCAGCTCTATGATCCAAGCCCTTTGGGGACAATAGTTGCATGGATTCCTTTTGTATAACACAGTGAAATATCTTCAGGAGACAGGGCAGGTTGCTCAGGGCTGAATTCAGTTTCTTCCTTATTTTCTAAACAAGTTCTACACGTGGGGTTCTTGTACAGGTTGTACAAGAGTCCTGGGGTGAAGGGAATTGGGATTTCTTTAGCTCTCCTGGGTTAAATGTAGGAAAATAGACAATGTCAGTCTATGTCATTCTTCACTCACAGTCATCCCTATGACGACGGCCTGGTATAGGGACCGTGAGGGGCAGGAGATATATTGTGAGAGACTCAGGAGACAAGGTAATTCCACCCCAATGTCCCAATCTGAGCTCTTTCCTGTTGGACACTTCACCCTTCCACATTTGTTTGCCACTCTCCCTTTTCTGGGTTTTTGTGCAATTTTCTCAACTCTTTAGACTTTTTCTTGGCTTAGATAAATGACTTAGCTTTTCTGAAATTCAATATTCTATTGTAAAAAATGGGGGGGGTATATAACTTTGAATCTGAAGGAAATTTTCTAAAATGAGAAACTTATTAAACAAAACCTTTTAAAATTTATATCACATCAATTGGTCTTTAAAAAGGGACAACTTTACTGAAGTATTAACTAGGTGTTATTTTTTTCCCAGCCCAAAATTCTCTCTTCTAGAGTGCCACATCCCCTATTGTCTCCATTAAAGAAAAATTATACGTTGAGTCCTCAAGCTTTATTATCTTTTTTCTTTGAGTGTCTACAACGTTAGTGAGAATTTCACACAAATAGATACTTAGATAATATCTCTTTTTTTTTTTAAGTCAAGGGATTTCAACTTTGCCTCACCTATCATTTCTGGTACTCACGAAAGATAGGAAACTTGTAGTATCAAAGGGATTTTCTCTGATGAAAAAGAGAATTGAGAACATCATTACTGTTGCAGTGATGAATATCCATAGGAAGTCTTCCATGGTGTTGGGGTTGGAAGCTCATAGAGTTGTTTCTCAATCTGTGATCCTTGGATGTATGTTCAGATGTCTGCAATTTATACATTATTGAGAAAAGTTTTCATTTGACAGTAGTATTTTTTTCATGAATCAAGGAAGTTAACAGTACACAGTTTACTTGTATAAGTAGCACTCTTTAAAAAAATACTTTACAAAGAATCGTTTTAGGTTCACAGCTAAATTCAGAGGACAGTACAGAGATTTTTGATAGACCTCCCACCCCTACACATGCATAGCCTCCCCTATGATCAACACCACTCCCCAGAGTGGTATATTTGTACAACTGATGAACCTACATTAACGCAGCTCTATCACTCAAAGCCTATAGTTTACATTATGGTTGAGTCTTGGGGTGTATTCTATGGGTTTGGACAAAGGTATAAATGATATGTACCCATTATTATGATAACTCACAGAGTGTTTTCCACTGCCCCCAAAATCCCCAATCCTATGCATCCCTCCCTCTCTCCTAATCCCTGGAAACCACTGATTTTTTTTTTTAACTTTCTCCACAGTTTTGCCTTTTCCAGATGTCATATAGTTGGAATCATTTAGTGAGTAGCCGTTTCATATTGGCTTCTTTCACTTGGTAGATGACTTTTCAAGACTTGATCGCTTACTTATTTTTAGCACTGAATAATATTCTATCATCTGGTTGTACCATGATTTATTTACCCACTCACCTACCAAAGGGCATCTGGGTTGCTTCCAAGTTTGGCCACTTATGAACAAAGCTGCCAGAAATATCCATGTACAGACTTTTGTGTGGACACATTTCTCCTTTGGGTAAATACCAAGGAGCTCAATTTCTTAATTTTTTTCAATTTCTTAATTGTATGTTAAGAGTACATTTAGTTTTGCAAAAAACCACCAAACTGTCTTCCAAAGTTGCTGTACCATTTTGCATCCCCGTGATAATATCAGAGTTCCTGTTGATCCACATCCTCACTGCATTTGGTTCTGGATGTTGGCCATTCTGAGAGGTTTGTGGTGGTATTTCTCATTGTTGTTTTTTTTTATTTATTTATGATAGTCACATAGAGAGAGAGAGAGAGGCAGAGACACAGGCAGAGGGAGAAGCAGGCTCCGTGCACCGGGAACCCGACGTGGGACTCGATCCCGGGTCTCCAGGATCGCGCCCCGGGCCAAAGGCAGGCGCCAAACCACTGCGCCACCCAGGGATCCCCTCATTGTTGTTTTAATTTTCATTTCCTTGATGGCATATGATGTGGAACATCTTTTCATATGCTTGTTTGCCATTTATGTATCTTCTTTGGTTAGGTGTCTACTAAGGTCTTTGGTTCATATTTTAATTGGGTTGCTTGTTTTCCTACTGGTTTTTTGAATTTTATTTTTTATTAAAAATATATATATTTATTTATGAGAGAGAAAGAGAGCACATGATGGGGTGGGAGGAGCATAGGCAGAGGGACAAGAGACTCCCTACTGAGTGTAGAGACCTACTCAGGACTCTATCCCACGACCCTAAGATCATGACCTGAGCTGAAATCAAGAGTTGGATGCTTAACCTAATGAGTCACACAGGCGCTCCTGTTTTCCTACTGAGTTTTAAGAGTTCTTTGTATGTTTTGGATGACAGTCTTTTATCAGATGTATCTTTTGCAAATATTTTCTCCCAATCTATGGTTTGTCTTCTAGTTCTCTTGATATTGTGTATGCAGATGTATAAAATTTATAAAAATTTTATAAGATTTAAATTTTAATGGGGATCCCTGGGTGGCGCAGCAGTTTGGCGCCTGCCTTTGGCCCAGGGCGTGACCCTGGAGATCCGGGATCGAATCCCACGTCGGGCTCCCGGTGCATGGAGCCTGCTTCTCCCTCTGCCTGTGTCTCTGCCTCTCTCTCTCTGTGACTATCATAAATAAAAATAAATAAATAAATAAAAGGTCTTTTAAAAAATTTTTAATGAAGTCTAAGTTATCAATTATTTCATATGTCATGCCTTTGGTATTATATCCAAAATGTCATCACCATACCCAAGGTTGTCTAGGTGTTCTCTCATGTTACCTTCCGTCCTTCAACTTTGTTCTTCTCCTTTAGTATTGTGTTGGCTATTCTGGGTCTTTTGCCTCTTCCTATAGACTTTTGAATCAGTTTGTCAATATCCATAAAATAACTTCCTGACTTTTTTTCATTGGGGTTGCACTGAATTTACATATTAAGTTGGGAAGAACTGATATTTGACAACATTGAGTCTTCCTATACACAAACATGAAATCTTCATTTTTTTCTTTTTGATTTTGTTCAAAATTTTGTAGTTTTCCTCATATATATCTTTCACATATTTTGTTAGATTTATATCTAAGTATTTTATTTTGGGAAGGGAGCTAATGTAAATATTATGTTTTTAACTTTGAATTCCATTTGTTCATTACTGGTATATAGAAAGGTGATTGACTTTCATATGTTAACCTTGTGTCCTGCAACCTTGCTATAATTGCTTATTAGTTCCAGGAGGGGTTTTTTTTTTGGTTAATTATTTTGGATTTGTTACATAAATGATCATGTCATTTGCAAACAAAGACGGTTGATTGTCTTTCCTCTCAATTTGTATACTCTCCTTTCCTTTTCTTGCTTTATTGCATTTGTAAGTACTTCCAGTACAGTGTTGAAAAGGAGGTGGATTTTGTCAAAAAGCTTTTTCTGCATCTGATAATCTTTTTCAGTCTGTTGATGTGATGGATTACATTAGTTGATTTTAGATGTTAAACCAGCTTTGCATGCCTGGGATAAATCCTACCTGGTCATGGTATGTAACTCTTTTTTACATTGTTGGATTCAATTTGCTATATTTTCGTTGAGGATTTTTGCATCTAAGTTCATAAGAGTTATTTTGTTTTCGTGTATTTTCTGTGATTTTGGTTATTAGAGTAATATCAGTCTCATAAACTAAGTTGAGAAATGTTTCCTCTTCTATTTTCTGGAAGAGGTTGTGTAAAATTTGTTTTAATTACTTAAATGTTAGGTAGAATTCTCCAGCAAACCCACCTGGGCCTGGTGCTTTTGTTTTGGAAGGTTATTAATTATTAACTCAATTTAATGGATATAGTCCTATTCAGATCATCTATTCCTTCCTGTGAGTTTTGGTGGATTGTGTCTTTCAAGGAATTAGCGTATTTCATCTAGGTTATCAAATTTGTGGGCATAGATAATTGTTAGTATTCTTTTTATTATGCTTTTGCTTCCCATGGAATCTGTAGTAATGTCCCCTCTTTCATTTCTGTTATTAGTAATTGGTGTTCTTTCTCTCTCTTTTTTTTCTTAGTTACCCTGGCTAGGGGCTTATTGATTTTATTGATCTTTTCAAAGAACTAGATTTTGTTTTTATTTTCTCTATTGATTTCCTGTTTTCCATTTCATTGATTTCTGTTATGATTCTTATTATTTCTTTTCTCCTGCTTACTATGGATTTAATTTGCTCTTTTTATAATTTCTCAAGATGGAAACTTAAGATTATTGGTTTTAGTCTTTCTTCTTTTCTAATATATGCACTCAATGCTATAAAATTTCCTTTAAGCACCGTTTTCACTGTATCCCACAAAATTTGATAAGTTATGTTTTCATTTTCAGTTAGTTCAAAATATTTTAAGATTTCTTCTTTGACCCATGTGTTATTCAGAAGTGTTTTCTTGGCTTAAACTCCATGTATTTTGGATTTTCCAGTCTTCTTTCTGTTATTGATTTCTAGTTTAATTCCACTGTGGCCTGAGAGCAGACATTGTATAATTTCTGTTTTTAAAAATCTTTCCCCTCTCTGGCCCCTCTGCCCTGAATTTTGCTATTTCAGTGCAGCATTCATAAAGTTTTCAGTTTTTAGGGAAGGCAACTCAGATGGTAGAACATAAACATGTTTCTTTTTATTTGAAAGTTTTTTTCTCAAAAAAGAAAGTTTTTTCTTTTATGGTTTATGAATATGAATACTTAGAGCCAGTTGTTTTTTCATTTTTCCATTGCCTTATATTTGTCAGTCTTGTCTCCTCTATTAGCAGTAAGTTCTGTGAAGGAAGAAGCTATTTTTTCTTTGTGCTCCCCATGGCATTTAAACATAGTGCTGACAGTACAATGGGTGCTTAATAAATTCTTACTTTTGATTTTATCCTTTTTTAAAAAAATGAGATACTTTTAAAATACATTCAAAACCTTGTCTTAAGACTCATGCCAGCATGGTCAGGGCTAAGTAATATACGTTGTGGGAAATGACTGAGCTTTTGATCTCTCCAGAAGTCTGTTGCTACATATATAATTTTTAGTGATAATTGATGGAAATGGCTACTATTAAAACTAGGGCTTCTAAACAATTTTTAATCTATATATATGCCTGTCCATGTGTTGGTGTAAAATGGAATGTCAAAGAAACACTGAGAATAGAATAATAATATATGTGATGGCAAGTGGAAAATAAAAACAGAAACTAAAGGCAATAAAAATATAAGGTAATTATGATTTCATTCTACTGGGTTCTTTTTATGTTCCTTTAAATTTGTTTTTTTTAATTTTTATTTACTTATGATAGTCACAGAGAGAGAGAGAGAGAGAGGCAGAGACACAGGCGGAGGGAGAAGCAGGCTCCATGCACCGGGAGCCCAATGTGGGATTCAATCCCGGGTCTCCAGGATTGCGCCCTGGGCCAAAGGCAGGCGCCAAACCGCTGCGCCACCCAGGGATCCCTTAAATTTGTTAAGATGTATCTTATGGCCCAGAGTATGGTCAATCTTGGTGAACACTCCATGTAAACTTGAGAAGAATATGTGCTCAGCTATTGCTAGATGAAGTAGTCTGCAGAAGTCAATTATGGCTAGTTGATTGATAGTGTTGTTGAGATCAACTATATCCTTACTGATTTTCTGCCTGCTGGATCTGTCCATTTCTGAGAGTGGTGTTGAGGTTTCCAACTATGATAGTAGATTCATCTCTTTCTCCTTGCAGTTCTATCAGTCTTTGCTTCATTTACTTTGATGCTCTGTTTTTCGGTGCATACACATTAAGAACTGTTATGTCTTTGTGAGAAATTACTTCCATTATCATTATGTAATATACTGAAAAAACTCTGATAGTTTTCCTTGCTTTAAGTCTGCTTTGTCTGAAATTAATTTGGCTACTCCCTCTTCCTTCCCTTTCTCTCTCCCTTTCTTTCCTTCCTTCCTTTTTCTTTTCTCTCCCCCCCTCTAAACCATTTTAACCACTTTTAAAAATTATTTATTATTTATTATAACCACTTTTAAGTGTACTCTTCAGCGATATTTAAATACATTCATATTGTTATACAACCATTGCCACCATCCATCCCCATAGTTCTTTCCATCTTGGAAAACTGAAACTCTATACTCATTAAACATCAACTTCCCATTCCCCCCTCCCCCCCAGCTCCCGGAAACCACCATTATACTTTCTGTCTTTATGGTTTTGACTGCTCTACATACTTCACATAAATGGAATCATGTAGTATTTGTCTTTTTGTGACTGGCTTAGTTCACTTAGCATGATGTCCTCAGGGTTCATATGTTGTAGCATATTGCAGTTTTCTTCCTGTATGTGTATGTGTTGTGTGTGCATGAGTTTCCTTCCTTTTAAGGCTGAATACTATTCCATTGTGCACATATACCGTATTTGCTTACCCATCCATCCATTGATAGATACCTGGGTTGCTTCCCTGTTTTAGCTACTGTGAATAATGCTATGATCGTGGGTGTACAAATATCTTTTTAAGTTTCTGCTTTCAATTTGGGGGAGGGGTATATACCCGTAAGTGGAATTTCTGGATCATATGGTAATTCTATTTTTAATTTTTTAAAAAGATTTTATTTATGAGAGACAGAGAGAGAGAGAGAGAGAGAGAGAGAGAGAAGCAGGCTCCACGCAGGGAACCCGATGCAGGACTCGATCCCGGGACTCCAGGATCATGCCCTGGGTCGAAGGCAGGCGCCAAACTGCTGAGCTACCCAGGGATCCCACTATTTTTAATTTTTTGAGGAACT